CAGCAGGAGATTTCACCCAAGGAAGTTCTGCTTCACAAAAAGGAGCACGAAGTCTGCCCCAGTTTGGGGTTTGCCTGAGCAATATCCGCCTGCCCGACCCCATTCCACGGCATCGCCGCAGGGATGCGGCCGGGAATGGGAGCAACAAATAGAGACATTAATAATGACGATCCGCGTGTCCCGGGCTGGCAGCTCTCCCGGAGGCCCCCGCGCAGCCGGTGCCGGGGTCTGCGCGCCCGGGCCGCCCACCCTGCCCGGCGGGAAGGAGCGCCGTGTCCCGAACAACGGGAACGGGCAGGTCCCGGCGCTCGGCCGACAGCAACCAAGGCTTCCCTGCATCCAGCTCCCGGACGTGCCGTTTGGAGGGATAACTCCCGGCAGAAGGCAGGGCAAGGAGAACCGCGCTGCCAAGGGGGAGTAATGTCCGACATGAGGGGGTGGCTGGGGGAGTTCACCCGGAATACCCGCTTGGGGGGAAGCAGAGGGCTCACAGACCCCCAATTCTGGCATCCTGCCCCCCCAGCCGAGCATCCCTCGCTCTGCCCCCCCTGCTGGCTGCTTCTCCCAGCCCCGCACCCCGTCTCCGCTCCGGAAAAGCCGCCGAGCTCCGGGAATGGCTTCGCCCCCCTCCCCCTCCTCCTCCCCCCGCCACCAACCTTTTTATTTCCTGCGTCATAAACATAAAATGGAGCCTGCAAGGAAGGAAAACATTCGCCTAAAATGGCTGAGGAAGAGGAGGGTTTGCAGCACGGTGCAAGAGCACCATCTGCCGCCGGCCGGGCCGCGGCGGGGGGAGCAGCCCCCGGCCCGCGCGGGGCCTTTTCCAGGGCATTTAACCCGCTGCTGTGGCCAGACATTCCTTGATCCTCCATCTCTTAAGCTAGGAGCAAATCAGCCTAGGGCCAAACATAGCTGCGGCTGAAGCTTAAGATGCACACGGGAACCTTACGGGAGGTTTTCTCCGCATTAGGGGCTAAAGCACAACGTGGTTACGAGAGGGAAAACAGATTTGTGGCCCCAAATCCTTCGGGGCAACCGGAGTAAACACCCCTGGGAGGATGGGGAGGAAAAGCAAAGGATTTTTAGAAAGGAAAGGGGAAAATGTAGAGAAAACAGTTACATAAGAGACTGCAAAATTAAATGCCACAGAATTAAATTCAGGCAGCAATGGGGGTGTCTCACCTGGAGAGCCCAGCTACAAGCCCCAGGCAGCACAAGTCAGTTAGCGACTGGTTCGTGTTTTTGCAGCATTGCTGCATAGGACGGGGTGTCAGCACCCAGCAGTGCCAGAATTGCTCAGCCTCTGGGCGATGGGGCCCTGCACAGTTGCACACTGGGGTTCCCAACGCTGCTGCGTTCCCAGCACGTCCCGAGCGACTCCGTACGGGAGCGCCGGGAAGGACGGAGCCACACGGCAGGGTGGACCCCAGCCCGGAGAGCCGGCACCGCCGGGCAGGAGCGACGGACAGGGACGGAATGAGGCAGGAGCCCAGGGCTGGGGGCACCGCAGCGCGGCCAGCTGTAAAGGCAGCAAGGAGCTAAAAACGAGAGAAAGATGCAAAATAGCAACATTGTGCACTGCTGTGAGCACAGCACAGGGATGGGGTACTTGGAAAACAGGCAGGGAGGAAAGAAAAAGGAACAAAAAAGGAACATTTCACTGGCAGAGAGCTAGGACAGGCCCTGAATAATGTTTCAGGGCTCTGCGTCTCTTCCAGGGGCACAAAGGACAGCAAATCTCCCCCTCGCTAGCTTGGAAACAGCCTGAACACGGGGAG